ATTATGCAATCCACCTTTATATGTATCTTTATATATATATTTAATATTTATGTTCAGTTGTGTCCACAAGGGAATACAAAATATATTGATTAATAATCACTTGCCATTGTGTTTTCTTTTTCAAAGCTTATCCTAATTTGAACTGTTGCTTGGTTTCTCATCTTTAAATGAAATGTGTCCCACTGAATAATCATCAAGATTAGTTTTACTGTAACACACTGGCCTCCAGTTCTCCAAGTGTAATATCTAAACTTCACCAGCAGATGTCAATGTACACCACAGAGTCAGCCACCATTTGATCAAGTGAAGTTCATCCTCACACTGCTGCAGTCATAGTGCATGGTGAACACTGTATGAGGCAGAGAGCTCCTAAAAGTATCATGTGGAAAATGTAGCAAGGTGTGGCCCAGCTGTGTATCTTAGCCATCATATTTCTGTAGGGTCAAAGGAGACCTTTAAATATGAACTCGTTCATTTGGTGTGGTTAACTGGACTTATTGTGACCGGTCACTTCCTGTAGGTTCATTCTTTTAAAAAGTCATTACATTTTACTATCTTATTTAGTAAAAACATTATTTGTGTGAAATCCCTAATATCGGTAGTAAAAATAACAACAATATAATATACTGACAATATATAATAAAGATGAAATAATAGAAAATCGGTTGGAATGGAAGTAAAAAGAAAATTAGTAAATTAAAGTAATATAAAAGGTAGAAGAAATCAATGACTTCATAATGACTTCATGTGTGGCTGTGGCCTTTTGTTTACATTATATGTTCTTAGTTATAGTTTGAGTTCCTGGGTTTCGTTCTGCATGTATTATTGTCTGTTTGCTTCCTTTGCTTTAGATTTAAGGTTGTTTAGTTCTTGCATGTATTGAATTTGAGGATCATGTGCTTTGGTCATTGACTTGCATAGCTTAACAGCGTAACTATGGGCACGCCACATTGAACTCATGGGGGTTCAATAGATGACTGCAGCCTGGGGATCGCTCTCATATTGTAAAAAGACATTTGACCTTTTTTACTCTCTATTCATTAGCTTTTTCATATATTGTTTTAAGGTCCTGTTAACATTGTTAGTGTTAACAAGTCTGTTTATTTTCAAATCAATGATTTATCTTGTGTTTTCATCTGTTGGGTAATTAATACTTCTTACCCCTGTTAGAAACCAGTAGTCCTAGGCTCATTCCTAGGTCATTAAAATACATTTAAGCTTACCGGGTTTTATTAAAGCTGTTTATTTTCACTTTCCACTTACAAAATGTCTCTGATTTTTCTGCATGATAACAGTGATGGGCAGAAGATGTTAAACATTTCTATTGTATGGAGTCTGAAGCAAACACACATCACAGGCAAATTTGTCTTTATTAAAAAAGAAGGAAATGTGCAGAATAAAGTGATACAGAGGCGTAATATGCATCGTACAACGATCGATTAACATTGTTGAAAAACATATTTTGAAAGTTTGACAGTACGACCCATATACCATTGATACTCTCTGATATAACCAGGAGTCTACTGTAATATCATTAATCACATTGTCTCATATACTGTATGAAAAGAGAGAAAAGGGTTAGAAACAATCATCAAAATCATTTAACAGCATTGTTGGACTGAGCTTTGCACTTGTGCTGATGATTCTCAGCTCTGTTAACATGAAGAACTCTTTCTCAGGCTTTCACTGATAGTAAGACACGTACTCAGTGCTGCCATTATTCCCTGCATTGAGATTTCGTTGAATAACATTGGCACCAGCCTTCTTATACACTTCAACAGCAGCCATGTTGAGAAGCAGGGTGATGGCCTTAATGGGATTGTTGACTCCATCCTTCCTGTACCACAGGTATATCAGGTTATCACAGGTTCCTTCGTTGAGGTTCACATTCACTGGAATGTAATTCTGCTGCTGAAGGGCCTGACGCTCGGTTTCATTGGTGGAGACATTCAGATCAGTGAGTGCACCCTTGCAGTTGGTGGTCTGACGGTACCAGATGAAGACATAGGCTCCTCCTGCACCCCTATTAGTATCTTCATCCACACGGATGTACCCCTGCCTAAAGAGGTCGGAGTCTGAGCCGGAGGAATCAGTGGCAGTGACATCACAGATGTATGTTTGTTTCTCTCTCTTCACCCAGATGTGGATCCAGTCCCCTCTAGCACCACGGTTCACATCACAGGCCAGTCTCTCCCACCCCTGGCGAAGCTTCATGCCTTCACTTCCTGCATCTGTAGTGACATCAATTTCCACTATGGGAGTATGGAACTCTCTATTTACCCCTCTGAAGTACCACAGGTAGATGACACTACCATGTGCTCCATCATTGAGGTCTTTAGCGACCTTTGTGTAGCCTGCATTGATCAATCCAACAGCCATTTCATCATTGAATGTAAGTTGAATCCTGGTGATTGCGGTTGAGCCGTATTTGTACCAAATATAGATGTACTTTCCTCCTACCCCTTTGTTCAGATCAACATTGATTTTCTTGTAGCCTTGGGCCTGGAGCTTTTGCTCATCATCAGAATCAAGGGACACATCAAGGTGGGTGATGTATTTGGTCATTGTGGGTAACTGCAGACAAAAAAGAAGATCATGAGTGAACAAAATGAAGTTAGAAGCATGACTGCGACTTTTCACAGGAGCTCCAGTATGATAAGGAAACAATTAAATATCATTATTATAAATGTGCATTGAGAAAGGAGCCATTTACAATATTATCAATGAAGATGTAAAACAGTAAAATGTTTGATTCACAGGTAGAAAATAATAAAAATATTGAACACTTACGTGTCTGCTGACAGTGAAGATTTGGCAGTAAGAAACTGATCTGCGGATCAACTGATCTGTTGTACCAACCAGCAGTCAGCTGTCTTTATATAGAGAATAGAGATGCTGTGGCTCATTGAGCAATCACTACTTGGTATGATCATTACTGAGGAGTCACATTCCAAAAGAATTTTGGAGAGAGAGAGAGGGAAGAGAGGCAGTGCAGTTGCACCATGGGAAATCCCCCCGATAAGTCTAGGCCTATAGCAGCATAAAAACACACCTACAAGTGTTCCCATGAAGTGTTTTTAATTAATTTCAGTGTAAGTCAACTGATACTCATCCATAAAGTCTTATGTCCATTTCTGTGTAAGTACAGGTAGTAGTTATCAATAGTTGACAAGCTTTTAGTACGGGTCAATAAAACACACACACCTACAAGTTCCCATGAAGTGTTATGTCCATTTCTGTGTAAGTACAGGTAGTAGTTATCAAAAGTTGACAAGCTTTTAGTACGGGTCAATAAAACACACACACCTACAAGTTCCCATGAAGTGTTATGTCCATTTC